GATAAGACAATGAGGTAAGAGAGAATTCATTAGTTAGTTTCTTAAGTATGCTTAGTCATAGGGAAGTATAAACACGTACATTTTCAAAATTTGGAGAACCACTGCTCTGTTGGGGCATTGCTGAGTCATTTCCAACATATTGTGGTTCCTCTTCTTCAATCTGAACAATAATAGAATATATATAAATATATATATTATAACATAAAAATAGTAATCTTTGCCCCAAAATAAGAAAAGGGGGAAGTATTGAATTTCTACCAAAAATTAAGTAGAAGTCTGGCACTAACCTCGCAAGCCCATTCCTGAATAATACCGTATGTGTAGTTGAAGGTCTTTTCTTGTGGAAAAGAATAATCGAGATAATCAAATACTGCACAACCAAAACCACAATTTCGTTATCATTACTATGAGAAGAAATCATATGTAGCAGTTAATGATTTCGATTAACTACGTATATGTGAATACTTACTCTCAGAGGAGCTGACATTAGGTGAAGGGATATTGTTACAATCTTGCACAATACGGATTTTCACAGTTTGGAAATCAATTCCATGATAGATAGTGTGAAGACTTGGTAGTTTTACCAGTCTTATTGCAAGTAAATTTGGAAGCACATCCTTGATGACCAACTCTTGCGGCGCGCCCTGCTTCCATTCAAATACTTGAGCAAGCTCAGGAGCATCTTCTATCTCCAACGTCAAGAGACATGGAAGTTTAGCACATGTAGAGACAGAGAATAAGCATTTCAACTTCTTGCAGTGCTTTACTCGAATATGGCATAGCTTTGGGAAACATGGTTGATGCAGATCCAAAGGATTTTGTTGATTCTCTTCATCATCCTCAATTATGCTCACCAACTCTTCACAGTCTGATATGAATAGCCTTCTCAGTTCTGGTATGCTTCTCGTGGTACAAGCAGACAGTATGAACTTCAACTGTTTGCATTTTTCAAATTCTAGAACAGAAAGGTTTTGAAAGCTCAAAGAGATTTTAGGTCCTACATATATATCCCTTAAATCAGCCAACTCTTGCAAGTTCGAAAGTGCCTTACCTTTCTCCTTGAAAGATAATGCCTGTAAGCATACAATTGAGATATGTTAGTCTTAAAGAGTCTCTTTAGGTGATTGATTATAAACTAGCAAACGGCAGAGAGGTTTACCTTTCTGCTTGAGAGATCTTCTTGTCTTTTGTGTCCACCAACCAAGAAATCTATAAAAGTTTGAGGAAGCTGTAGACATCCTTCAATACTAATATATTCTAGATTTAATACCTCCACGTAATAATTTTCTGTGGAAATACAAACCATATTTGGTAAATCTACAAGGTATATTGTTTTCAAGGCTGGGAGATTAAGTTTACTCTGAACATTATGATTCTGATCAGCATGACATTCTCGAAATATATATTTCATCTTTTCTGCCTTCCCGATGCTCACATATCCCAACTCCTTAAAGTCTTTTGAATAAAAAGCTGGGAATAAAAATTCCAAATTGTTACAGCTCCAAATATAGACTTGTTGTAAGTTAGGAAAGATAGAGTGCACATTCATATGACCTTGACCATTAGGCCCCTCCTCTGTTATAATATGTTCCAGTGCATCACACTCCTTGACATACAATGTTTCCAAGAACTTCAGTGATGAGGCAATGGATATGGTAAAGAGTGATGTTAACTTGGAAAATCCAGTTATCTCAATCCCTCTCAAATTGGATTGAGATAATGGTAGTGGAAAATATCCAGAAGCTGTACTCGGCACGTGCTTTGATTTGGATGCCTTGGTTAAATACAAACATGTTAATTCATTTTTTCCTTTTTCCTGGTAAATACATATGAATTCTTCTTCAATAAACTAATAAAGAACATTTTAGTATGTTGTTATATTTAAAAAAAATAGAAAATACTTTTTCTGGTTCTTTACAGAACTTGTGAAACCAAGAAGAATTCAGGAGAAATTTTATTCAGCTTTTCTAACAACTTATAATATATAAATATTTTGAATTTCTCCCCTAATTTTTCTCATATTGTAAACAAAAGAAATGCTCGCTTTTGATATAAATTGAGCTCAAACTGAAATTTCTATCTTTCTCTTTTCTATTATTTTCTATTTAAACAAGGAAAAATTGCAAATAATGGCCATAGAAAATATAAAATTGCAATTTGGATTCTTCAAATCCTAAAATTGTCGTCAAGAACTGGCTCTTAAATATAAATTAGCAAATATTGTATAAAAAACCAAATTGCCCTCCTATTACTTGGAATACTTAAATTGTTACTTGAAATACTTAACTTGTAATTTCTAAAATTGTACTTATTTTTTCGTAGTACAAATTTATTATTTGAAATACTTCACTTGTAATTTTAAATGCTATGCTTGTTATTCCCAGTAGTTCACTTGTTATTTTCAATAGGAAGGCAACTTGGTCTTATACTCAATATTTCATAATTCAAATTTAAGATGAGGTCCCTAGCAATAACTTTTTGAATTCAAAAATCCAAATTGCAATTTTATATTTTTCAAAATCTTTATTTGTGATTTTTTCTTTAAACAATTACCTAGAAGCCAAAATTATATATTTTAATCTATACGACATCAACTTTTATAATAAAAATTATAAAGAATGTAAATTTCAACATTCTAAATACTTTTGTAAATGAAAAAGTAAAATAACAAGGAAAAATTGAACAATATAAATGTTTTAAAGTGGAAGTCAGAGGTGAAAAAGTAACCTACTACTAACATAAGGCATATTTTTGAACAAGCTGTCAAAATCAATAATATGTGTCTATACACACACAAAAAGCTACCACAAGTAGAAATCTTAGAAATTTTCTCTCTTAAATATTCACAAACACATCTCTTTTTTGCACATCAATGGATAAATCTATAACATTATTTATGGGAAGTTGTGGGCAGTTTTTCAGACTTATATCTTGTAGAGATAATGCCTTCACAGAATACTTTTTGGTGCAAATACTCACCATATTTGGCACATCATGAAGGCTTAGTCTTTTGAGATCTAGGAGATTAAGTTCAATATGAACATTATGCCTCTGATTGGAATGACATTTTCCAAACACATATTTCAACTTTTCAGCATTGAAGACTTCAACTTGCTTTAAGTTGGAAAAGATACAACAATCATTCATATGACTGTAAGCATGCCCCTCATCTGTGACTATGTGCTCCAGTTCACCACATTTACTGATTGTTAATTCTTCTAACAATTTCAATGATGAGGCAATCGATAGGGTAAGAAGTGACTTCAACTCAGAAAATCCCTCTACACTCATCTTTCTTAAATTCTTGTATGGACATAATGAAGGTGTAAAAGTCCACTAGCTTTACCGAGATGTTTCTCCTTTAATGCCTATGATACATTAAAATATTTGTCAATATGTTATTACATTACAAAATCACAATCATAGTAACCAAAAAAAGTGAGACAAAGTACCTGAGTAAGGTTCAATTGATTGGCCCTGGAAAAAGATAGTTCATTGATGCTAAAGGCACTTGCTTTTGAAGATAAACGACACAGAAGGCCCCATGATTTCTGCACTTGAGAAGACTGTGGGAAATAATATTCTGGATATATGTTGATGAATTTGGGTACGTTTGCAATTTCTATTTCTTATAGTGAGGGGAGTATGGTTTCCTTTTCCATTTGACGCATACCTCCCTCCTCTAAACATTGCCGAAATATGAATTCTAGCTTATTAAAACCACAGATTTTCACACTTTCTAGCTCTTTGCAAGGAAAAATTGGCAATATAAACTCCAATTCATGACATTCTTCAATGTTCAGAGACCTCAATTTCGGGAACATTGAGTGATGGGTCTTTTGATTACAATCATGATGATCGTCCACTTTTTGCTCTGCAGATCTCTTATCATCACTTATTAGGCATTTCATCTTTGAGCATCCGCTTATGTCCAAATTTCCAGTTGCTTTAGACTTTGAGCTGTGGATAGACAGAAAAGATATGTCATCGAACAACCATTTAACTCTATAGACTTCAAACTACTTAGCTCTAGCTTGCCCTTCAATAGTGTGCCGTCTATTTCAGCACAACCACTTATGTATAGCTTCTCTAGTTGCTTGAGAAAGTCATTAGGAAAATCACCATGGCATAATTCCCTCACACACATGTTAGAAAGTCGTAGCTCAACTAAGTTTGAGAAGATGGTTGCATGAGATTGAATTCCACTTGTATTGATGAGGCATTGTATTGCAGGCCAAGATTTCAAAGAAAGCCTAATTAAGCCATTCATGCCTTCATCTTCTTGAGGATCAACTATGTCAGGAATAAGGTTTGTCCATCTTGTATCATTACATTCTGTTAACTCAAGAATCTCTGCTCTTGCTGCCAGGGATTTGATTGTGCTTTCAGACAAGATCCCTTTTAACTTGGTTGAATTGAAATATCTTTTTGTTGAAGCATCCAATTGAAAAGAACGCTGGTAAGAGTAGTTGCCTTCTACATGATATATTCTAAATTCTTGATCAAGATCTATAATTTTAGAAGGCTTTGGATTAATTTTAAGAGTGTCATGATTTGAAATATAATACAATACTTCAAGTTTTGAGCATCTCCCAATCACTTCAAACGGGTTATTGATAAATCCTGATTTTAATATATGTTTGATATCTTTTTGGAGATATTATCAATTAAAGTGGGATAAATTGCATTGGTTGTGGGTATTTTGAATCAAATACTGATTGCATGAAATTAGAGATTTAATAGGAGATCTTATCATATTTTTATCTCTTTTTAAATATTTAATTTTAGATTTTATGATAGTATCTCAATATATCTTTTGCAGGTCTTAAAAATAAGGAGATAAAGATCATAGAAAGCTGAAAGGAAGGGAAAAAAAAAAGAAAAGAAAAGAAAAGGAAATTGGAGACACAAACAACTTGGACATCAAGGCATCAGATTATTATTTATATTTTTATTCATGAAAAAAAGGGGGGCAACAAGGAATTCCAGAAGGCTGCCAATCATCTCTGATTCTTCGGATTTGATATTGGATATAGATCCCCTCCTTCACGCAATATGACGCGGTCGCCTCCCTCAATGCTAGTTAACAGGAAAGAACCTACTAAAGGGCAACAAGAAGAAAAGAACCATACTGAAGTGGTTCCAGACGAGAAGTACACAACATTGGAGCATGATGAATCAAGCCAACAGTTATTCTTTTCGATTGAACAATCTACCAAGCCTAGCAACCTCAGTTTCTCCTGTTGGCTAACTTCATTTGGCAATTCACTAATTGAACAATTTGTCAATTCAAGAGTTTGGAGTTTTTTGAGGTTTTGCAAAATAGATATATCACCCAACTCCCAATTTGTTAGGGACAGTGTTTGGATATTTTCAAGTGAATGAATTGATTTTGGTAGTGACAAGGCCAATGTTCTCCGAAACTTAACCTTAGAACACAAAAGCAAAACTCTAAGTCCCTTCATACCTCCAAAGAATGCCTCAGGAACTCCCAAAGGATGACTTGCATTATTTACCCATACTAAAAGAACCTCAAGATTAATGCCCTCAAAAGAGTTAGAAAAGTCATCTATCATCCAGGATGAATATTTTACATTCTCCTTCAATTTACTTTTAGAATCCGTGATTACTTGAATCTTTTCATCTCCTATTTGATGGGCTATATCACGAATCACATCATGCATCTTTACAAATCCTTCTCTAGTAGTGAGCAATAAAGCAGAACGTATGAGTGTGGTTTTGATTGAAAGCACTTCACTTCTTGCTCTATAGTAGCTGCCAACATTTTCACTAAGCCTTGAACCTATAGCAATTCTGCTTAAAACCTCTACTGGTATTTCATAAGCTCTTGAGAATATAGAACATAGCAGGATGAGATCTTGCGCTCCTCTATCTAGACACTTGAAGCTTATTTTCAGAGAATTGTAAAACTTTTTCACTTCTTCATCAATGTTCCCATGCCTTAAGGATGAATCTTTTTCTATTACTGCAAAAGCATCCTCCCATTCATTTGGATCCCAATTTCTAAAGGTTCGAGCAACTGCTACAATTACAACTGGTAAGTTTCCACACTCAATCACAACTTTTGATGCTAGCAACTTCAATTTATTAGGACAATCCTTCCCATTTTCAGTGGCATGATGTAGGAAAAGATTCACTGCGTCTTCCTCATGTAAGAGCCCTAGTTTAATAGTCTCTTGGCAGCTCATTCTTCTACAAATTGTCTCATAACGTGTGGTTAGCAAGACACAACACCGGCCCTGGCTATGGATGCCACGGTGAATCCCTATGTTCTCAAGTTTGAGCTCTTCCCAGACATCATCAAGTATTATGAGTACACTTCCAGCATTAGTGATTCTGATCCATATTTGTTCTGCGTGTGTTAAATCCTTGCCATCCTCCAACTTCAACTCCAATTTTTTTTGCAATTTCATCTTGAATCTTCTTTTCGTCAACAGGATTAGGCACTTCAATGAAGACAACTTTATCAAATGCCTTGGAATTTTCAAGTTCCTTACCAATTGCTTTTGTCATTGTGGTTTTCCCTGATCCTCCCATTGCTTGCAATCCAATCCTATGTATATTGTCATTTTTCAGCTCCTCCCTAAGTTGTTCATAAACTAAGTTTCTACTCTTAAAATGCATAAACTCTTGTGAATAGAACTCCATGCTTGGAGGTCCAGCTGCATGTGCAACTTGTGAGAAGTTCTCAGCTTTCTCCATTATTGTCAAAATCTCTTGCATGATGCGCTCTAATTTCTTCGCCAGTGAATATTATGAAAACCAATCATTACAGAAACCAAACCATTTCTTTGGTCTTGTTTCTTGCTGAATGAAGTTGTTGGCTTTTCGAACCCAATGCTTAACTAAAGGGTCAATTTGGGTTTCATTCCTTCTTTTGGCTTCTTTTATCTTCATGTCCACACTCTCCACTGCAGCTGACAATTCTCCTTTTTTCTCTTCAAATTCAGCTGCATAACTCTTGTAACAACACAAATATGGAAGTTCCTTTGTTAATTTGTCTACCAATATATCAGTACATTTTGCTGCAGCAGCACTACTGGCAGCAATCTCCGCCATCTATCATACATATAATGAGATTACAATTACAAAAACAACAAGGTCATATCGTGATACCTTAGGCACAACTATACTATGATCCAATATTTAGCATAAAAAACAAATTATAGTAATCAAAATCTTAGTACTTGTACAGTGCACAAAATTTCGTAACCTCTATGTTTTAGATGAAACAATCCAATATAAATATGACAGGGAAATTAGTTTGACAATCCATTGCACTCACAAAATGTTATGAGCCTCAAGCCTTAGAAGAAAAGTTCGATTTATAAATCTAAAGACCTCTCTCTTCTAACAAGTTATTGTAGTCTTTTAGAATGTGCTCCATAACATTGCTAGGTTGATACGAAAAAATCTGAAGTCACTATAAATTAGAAAGAAAAAAGTGGTGAGAATTAAAAATATGTAAATATATGTATTTGTTTCTTTTGTCAGTTTATGTAGTAGGTTTAAATGGAAATATCTAATAACATGAACATTTTTTACCTTAATAAATAAATTTATTATGTTAGCATAATATCAGAACTTATTTCTAGAGACCACAAATCAAAAATTGGAAAACTCAATAACCATAAATCTTATTGGTTTCTCCAAAAGCCACACCCACACCAATAGAATGCCGTTGCAAATAATTTGATTTCCGCATATGACTCTAAATTTCACAGTAAAATACTTCAACCTTTAATCTATTACATTTTGTCTTGCTCACATGATTTTCCATCATCTATTGTGATAACATACACTTAAATTTCAAAAGATACTTTTTAATTAAATTTATATTAAATTACTTTTGTTTACTAGTTTACATCATGATACTAAATTTTTAATTTTGGCTAAAATATTTTTAAAGAATTTAAAAGTTTTCCCTTTTCCTTGATTTTTTATTTACTTTTGTAAATAGTTATATATTTATAATGTTTTTATCATGTTAGAAAAGAAGCTTAAATAATTTAGTCAACGATTAATATCATCTTTAGTTGTAAAAATTTGATCTTGTCTTAGTTTTAATTTGGTCCTTAAAATTTGAAACAAGTGCTTTTGATTTTTAAAATTTAACTTTATTTGATCTGTTTACAGATTTTTTGTTTATGGAACAGTTTTTTTTGGTTCATGAAAGTATGAAATTTTAGAAACTAAAATTAAAATAAGATCAAATTTTAAAAACTAGAGATGATATTTACCCTTTACTTAATGTATACATGAAAAAACATGATTGAAAATTTGATTAATTTTTGAAATAAATATATAACTGACTAAGTATGTTTATAAGTGTTTGTAACTAAAGCTTTGTTAAAAATTTTATATTTTAAATTTAAATTGTTTATATAATCTCCCAATCTTGCATCATTTATAATTATAATATACGATGAAAAAATATGTGTTTGAAATATTTTTTAGCCATTAATTTGAAAAAAAAAAAAGAATAAATAAGTTCCAATACCTGTGATGAAAGATTAAATTTACAAAATTTTATAATATAATCAAAATTAACTTTACAACATATTAGAAAGCTTGAAAATATATGTATTAAAGTTATTTTTTGTTGTATAAAAAATATTTATTTGAAAAATATAATATAAATATTTAAATAATTTTTATGTTAAGCAGGTGTATTTTTGTCAAAACAAAATTTTAAGAGTCAAACTTTAAGAGAACTAACATTTAGATGAACGAAAATGGCATATCAATTATATAAGAAAGATTTGTATAACATATGATTTAATTTCAAAGAATGTTCATACACAATTTTAAAATAAATGAAAGGTTTTTATAATTTAAGTAAAATAATTGTATCTCCCGTACTCTCATGGTCACAATGATGTGAAGGATGAGAGGGAAGAACTGGATGAACCATAGTTTAGTCACAAAATTAATGATAGAATATTTTGATGACAAGCATTTTAGTAATGACATTGAGAAATAGAAATTGATAATTTTGAGTATTTCCATTTTCAATAATTATGTTGTTAATTCTAATCATGAAATTAGTAACAGAATAAAATTGGGTCGCTAAATTATATTGTTAATTTTTTTTTTTGTGATATTAAAGACGTTGATTTGGAAGCTCGTAATATTAATATTATGAAATTCTATGCTTACTTCTTGACTCTTGTCCAAGTATTTCAAACTCTATGATAGGAAGGACCTTCTGCTTGCTTCTTGGTTTGCCCCTAATAAAAAAGCAACATTATCCAAATGTCAGAGAAAAATTAAGGGAATGATAACCTAAATTGTAAAGACATAAAAATTTAGATCAGAATAAGAAAAATTTGAGAAAAATTTCCTTATTGAAAATCTTATTAGTGAGGAGGACCTGAATCAAAATATCAGTATTACTATTATGTGTGCTGCAAAGTCTTGATATTTTCTGTGTACAAAAATCTATCAAGTCCTTATCACTAGTAAAATTTTTAATAGGAGACTTTTCTCTTGCTTTTTATAAAAGCAATCATGTTTCTAATAGCAAGAAGTGCTTCTAATCAATGGTGGCTGAAGAAAATTGGTGCAGAAGAGAGCTAATTAAAGATGTAAAAATATTAATCGAAAAAGAACGAAAATACATTTAGGAGTTTCTTTCCATTTTTAATTATCTAACGAAAAAATAAAACAATTTTGTCCCGAAAAAAATTATTGAAAACTTATTAGTGCTTTTTATTATTGTAATAAATGTAAAACAACTTCTACTTTTATTAACTTATTGTTTCTGTACCTTTACTTTTGCAACTCAGTGCTTTAAAACAATTTAGTCAAATTTATTTGTGTGTCTGGCTGCCAAGTCATGTTGCTTAACAGATTTTTTAACGGTGTTAACTCTTTTTAAACGGTTTTAAACAGTAGGGATTAATAAAGCTAACTGTGTAAACTTAAAGGACTTGATAAAAAATTAAGAAAAATACAGGGACTTGATTCACAATTCAAGTAAACTACAAGGGCTAGGAAATTAATTTTTCCCATATTATAAATCACGTTTTAACCGTCCAAAAATTACTGAGAAACTCAAAGAAACATGCTCTTTAATTATTCAATTCAAATCTCAATGATTAAAAAAAAAATAAGCTGGCTTGTTGACAATTTTTTTTAATTGTGATTTTTACTGCCTTTTTTTTTTTTTGGTCTGACAGCCTTGCTTAAACCATTGATGATAAAAACATAAAAACATGCAAGTTATTGATTTATAGTTTTATACGTTCCTATAGTGAGATAAACATAAAAAGTATAAAGAGCCGTATTGTTCACAAATAGTAGAAGATGCAGTTAATTCTATAATATAAATATATATATATATATATATATAAATACGCACAACCCACTTTAGTTTATAATTTAACAAAGCTATTGTAGAAGTTTCTATGAATATAAATGAAATCTACGACCAAAACTATGCATATATTAACCTGTAAATAGGAATTATTCAAGTATGCCTCACATGACCGATCAAGATCTAAGAAATAAAAGCAAGTTAAAACAAATAAAAAAAAAAGAGTTTAAGAGAGCATATGTGTAAAATAGAATCCATAAGTACCATGGAGTTTAAACCTTACCTCTTAGAGATTTCTATGCTGCAATGCTTCTGCTATAAACACCTCTTCTTCTTCTTTCTTTTTCTTTTCTTTTTTTTAGTGGTTTGAGAAAAGGAATTACGAGAGAGAAGATTTCAACACAATTTTTTTTTTTTGTTTTCTCTAAGTAAGAACGAGCTAAACAACAATAATGACAATAGACAAAGAAAAAAAAAAAGAAAACAACTCAAATGCCAGAAAATAAAGCTTGGGAAAAAAACAGGTCCTTTCAATCGACAAACTTTGAAACAAAACCCAAAGCTCTTAGATTTCTTTTTCTTGCTTTGTTTTCTCTAAATGAGAAGGAGAAAAACAGCTCAAAACAGAAGAGCAAGAGCATCGAAAGATTTTTATGATTAAAGAGAGAAATGAGAACGAGAACAGAGGAAGAGCACGGAAATTGCAGAGAGAAGAAGCAAAAAGTATAATAAGTGATTACTAATGATTGATGAACATTTTTATTTACAGTCACATCAATCATATCGAGAAATTCGTATGCGAACTTTGCGCATCACAGCATTTGCAATCTGTCTAATAAAAGAGAGGGAGCTCATATAACTTCACCCTTA